GTTGTACACTGGAAGTGTTCTGTCTCAGAACATGAGCAGTAGAAAGGAATATCACTCCTCATACCTTTGGTTTGGAGCACAAGAAAGTGCAGGTGCAGACAAATGGACACTGCTAGTAAAAATATTCCAGCCTCAGGTAGATGGAGCACATTCATACATTGAATGAAATATGCATATGGATTATCACTCAAAGAAGAAGGGACTGTTTTGTTAATTTACCCGGAGTATTTTTTGGATGCTCATAATTTATTAATGTAAATTTAAATAACTGTTTAGATTGCAGAGAGCATTATGTATTAATGGTTTACCATTTAAATATAAAAAACAAACACAAATATCACAGAAGGAACAGTGAACTAGAAGGCTATGTGACCGAGACGAGGAAATGTAATGACCTAAACCAAAACTACAGGAATGACTAAAGACTGATCTTGAAAACTAGTGTGATTTGGATTTCAAGCATAGTCTGCGTATCTGTTATTTTAGCATCTAGCAACTTTTGTCACACTGCTAAGTGCTTAGAAAGAGGATCTATTCATGCCTGTTTTCAAGCACGTTGGATACTACGTTATGTGTGATTTTTAAAAGTTAAAGTCAGAGTTCAGAATAACTTACTGATCAATTATCAATAAATGACCAAACAACAAAAATTACCTAAAAGCTCCTGGGTTGGTCCTACCAAGTCCCAGCACAAGGGATTCTGTAATTTCCATACTCTCAGAGCGCATCATTGGAACTATGTGCTTAAACAGTGATGAAGGGGATGGACTGCCAATAATCTGGAACAAGAAAACAGAATATTTTTTCTAGAAAGTAGTAGTTTCCAGCTAGTATTATTTAAAAAAGTGTAATATTATTTTAAATTATTTCCAAACTGAAAAGTTACTTGAAATAATCATAATAAAAGGGAAACTTTTGCTATAAGCTAGTAACATCAGTCTCTGCCTTGTATTATCTTTATTAAGATGCCTTGTGATCCCGCCCTCGCACAAATCTCATTGCCATCAGCAGATTAATATTTCAGGTTTATATCAGGGCTTCTTTCTTGAGGAGATGAGCATTAAAACCAATATCACTTCAACGTCTTTGGAATACAGGATCTCCATCATTCCATAGGGCACCAGATTAAGCACATGGGTTTTCAGTGACATCCCTAGCATTATGTCCTTCCAGGCTGAACCTTTTGCCTGTAGAGCACCACAAAAAATGTATCAAGCTGATACCTTTCCCTCATTCAAATCTCTTGTAAAAATTCACAGTAACATAGGGATTTCTTGGTGTCATCTGGCAAAGGACACAGGATAGAAAAGGATTACGGGAATCCCCTGTGTTTAGTATTTACATACTAGCTCACCAAATTATGTCATGCTAGGTCTGTGACACACTGGTCCTCATAATTAAGACTACAAGTTTTTCATGGAGGCCACTGACTGAATTTTTGGGAACTCCATGACTTGTGCAGCAGCTAGTGCATCTGGACCAGGAGCAGGTTGGCCAGTGCCTGGGCCAGGTGCACCAGCCGCTGTTGGGACAGTTTCAGGCCACTGTGTCCCCTCTCCTCCAGAGCAGCAGCAGCAAGAATTCGGGTACAGGCGGTGGCTTATGGCTGGGGCACTGCTGCAGGGGAGAGCGTGAAGGCTCTGGGCAGTATTTACATCAGGGGGCTCCTCAGAACTGGCAACATGTCCCTCCCTCAATTCCTAGACAGAGGTGCAGCCAGTTGATTCTGTGCACTGCTTTGGCCTGCAGGCACTGGCCCTGCAGTTCCCAATAGCCATGTTTCCTAGCCAATGGGAGCTGTGGAACTGGTGCTTTGGATAGAGGCAGTACACCTCCTCTTAGAAGCTGAGGGAGGGACATAACACCACTTTTAGAGACCTGTGCAGAGCAAGGTGGGGTGACTGCCAGCACCACTAACCCCCCGCCCAGAACCCTTGGACCTCCTCACTCCCCAAGATTTAGTCAGAGGTATATAGTATGAGTTACAGACAGGTCACAAATTTCTGTTTGCTGCCTATGATCTGTCCATGACGTTTTCTAAAAATATCCATGACTGAAATGCAGCCTTAGTCATAATACTTGTGAAATGTTACGTAATGATAATAGATAAAGAATCAATGTATATATATTGAAAATTAAAGTTCTTCTAGTCTGTGATTTGGAGCTGGTTGCCAAAAGGTGAAAAACCTATTTCTTTCAGGCATGAAATATTTATTTATCCATCTATCTGAAAGTAAATTGACTGTGATATGGTTCACAGTAAGGACACATTTACAGTATTGAGTCAAATGCTAATGAAAAGACTATGAAATCTACCAAAGAGGGAATAGACTGGAAGAAATAAACCAGCAGAAGGGACTCCTATTTATCAGTGAGGACAATGGATTTTTGGATAATTACCATAGGTAGAGAGCTGACCTGAATGTTGTAGTTAGTAAGCCAAGACTGTAGCTTGTTGTGTGAAAATGGGATAACAGTCTAACTGGCTGAAAAAGGCTGGTGAGAAATGCTAAGTTCTAACATGCCTGTTATGATTTTATTTTATAAGTAATTCTTTGTTTAATACTTCCATCTACTTGATATCATCTGAATCTTTTTGTTTCTGGTTACATAACCTTATTTTCACTATAAACATATCAAGGAAGCCCCAGGCCCTTTAAATGCACCACTGTAGTCCTAGACATGGGGTAGGGAACTTTTTTTAGGTTGGGAGCAGCTTACCCACAAAAAATCAGTTAGGGGCCAAAGACAAGTGAGAAGCAAAAAAGAAAAAACAAACCCATTCTCACTGAGAAAGAGAAAGACACTCCCCACATTCCCTTCAAACACAAAAGCTTAAAGAGGCCCAGGCTAGTAGATTTTGTGTGCTCCAGCCCCATGGTGGAGTGGGGCGGGAGGGGACTGGAGCACCAGAGCAGGTTCCCCAATGCTGGGGGGAGCCCTGAGCATTGGGGGCCAGATCCAGGCAAGCTAAGGGCTGCAACTGGTCGCTAGGCCTTAGGTTCCTCACACCTGTCCTAGATAGTTCAGATCAGACAGTGCTTCAGGGATGGCTGGGGGAGGCTAGTTTCCAGCCCTTCTCCTTCCACTAGAGGCCTCATCCCCTCTGGAGTCTTAGAGCAGGAGTGGGAAATAAATTTTGCCAGGGGGCCACTTCAAAAATTTTTGAAGTATCCCCGAGTCGACCCGGAAGGGGTGGGAACTAAATGATTGGTTTGGGGGTAGGGGAGCCCCTTCCCACCCCCCACTTTCCCGCTAGGCACCCATGCCCTGGAAGAGGCTTGGCACGCTCCCCCACCCCCAGGCCAATCAGGGCCTGGGGGTGGGGGAGTGCGAGTAGGGTTGCTAGGTGTCTGGCATTTGAGGCATGTGTCCGGTTTAAAAAAAAAAAAAAAACTATTTTCTGTTTTTCTTACATGGAAGGCTGCTTGGGACAATCTTCTACCACTGCATCTAGCAGGGGGAGTGCGGGAGGATTTAAAAGGGCCATCTTTTTTTTCTGCTCAACAACTTTTGATTCTTTTTTTTTGCTCAACCAATTTTTTTTTCCTGCCATGTTTGGTATTTTTTGTGAAACTATCTGGCAACCCTAAGCGTGGGAAGCCTCCTCCTGTCCCGCCAGGAGCATGTGGCACTTTGAAGTGCTGCGGGCTCCTCACAGGGCCGGGACAGAGCGAAGGAAGCTTCACACTGCTTCCCTGCCCCAGGCCCTGATTGGCCTGGGGATGGGGGAGCGCATGAAGCCTCCTCTGCTCTCCTCCCTGCCCTGCGAGCAGCCACGCTTCAAAGCGCCACATGCTCCTGGCAGGGCAGGAGGCATCTTCAGGTACTCCCCTAATTGACCTGGGGGTGGGGGAGCAGCGGGGTCTCCGCGGGCTGGATCTGGCCCGCAGAGGCCCTTTTTCCCCACCCCTGTCTTAGAGCCACCCCCAAGTAGACCAGCAAGTCTATCTCCCTTGTTAATACCCATCGGATATTTTCTTCTTCACAGTGAGTTCCATTTCTTCATGTATACTTAATTGTAATGATGAATGTAAGTTGAAAGTAAAAGTTTAGCATTAGTGTTATCATCATAAATTCTACATGCTTTGGATAATTATGTATTTGCTTAATTGTTATTAAAGTGTAGTTATTTTGCTGTGTAAAGAACATAATGTGGTCTTTTTACAATACATGGTAAGGTAATTTCATTAATATAGTAGAAATGTTTGGCCCGTGATGACTTACCAAAATTTGTGCCCCCTTGTGAAAATTATTGCCCATCCCTAGTCTATCTGAACAGAAATTGTAAGACAACCTTCCCAATATGGGCATCAGATCTTGATACTGTCTTTATAGAGCATTGTTACATAAATATATGGACTGAATCTCAAAGTATTTATTAGAGATATTGCTAAAAAAAGTTGAATAGGCTGGTTGAGCTCTCTGAGTAGACTGTAACCCTCAATGGTAGGTCTAACTTGACAATTCCAAAGCATAACTTAATGTACACACAAATCCAATTAGAAAATCTGTATATAGCCTCTCCTTTTATCCTATCTACAGAACATCTTAACTAGCTTAGTCCTGTCAAGATAGAAGGAAAACACCTTCCAAGGTGTAAAGTTAGCTTCTCCAGTGTTGAGTGTGGATTAAGAAAGAATACAGCCAGATAAATTAGTTGGTAGAGATGAAAGCCAGAGACTACCTTTGGTAATAACGGCAGATGAACTCACACTACCTCTAAAAAATACAGTGTACAGATGTCTTGTCATGGGGTGCCTGTATTTCTGCCACTCTTTTAGCAGATGTTATTGCTACTAGAAAACTTAATAGATGAAAGGAATACATCTCTTAAATCTCAAGAGGTGGGCAAATCAAACCCTTTAACACAATATTATATCCCAAAGAAGGAGAAGTCTCCTGACTGAGGGGTACATCAGCATAAGGTCTTTCAGGAATCTAAAGCAAAATTCAGGACAATGTAGCACTTTAAAGACTAACAAGATGGTTTATTAGATGATGAGCTTTCGTGGGCCAGACCCACTTCCTCAGATCAAATAGTGGAAGAAAATAGTCACAACCACATATACCAAAGGATACAGTTAAAAAAAAATGAACAAATATGAAAAGGACAAATCACATTTCAGAACAGGAGGAGGATGCGGGGGGAGGAAGGAAGGTAAGTGTCTGTGAATTGACGATATTAGAGGTGGGGAGAGTGGGATGTTTGTGACTTACTGGTATTAGAGGTGATAATTGGGAAAGCTATCTTGATAATGTGTAAGATAGTTCAAGTGTTTGTTCAATCCTCTTTGGAGAGTGTCGAATTTTAACATGAATGACAGTTCAGAGGATTCCCTTTCAAGTGCAGATGTAAAAGGTCTTTGTAGCAGAATGCAGGAATCTAGCTACTGTAAGATCAGAGAATATCAAATGACCTTGAACTGGAGGATGAAGAGCTGAGACAGCTGCTAACTGGGTTCTCCAGAAACTCAGAGAGAGACCAGTCATGTTGCTTTATAACAGAAAGTAATCAGGCACGTCACATATATCAGTTTGAAAGAGAAATAACTAGCACTTGTGCCCAGACTATGAATCTCTTCCACTTGGCAGAGTGGTGTCCTTTCTTCGCGGCATAAGAATATTCTGCACCTCAAACAGCTCTTCTCTACTAATATTAACTAACCAGCATCTATGTTGAGAGGAGCAGAGAAGGTGGATCTAGACAGACAGTCTGTCCTTACCTTTGAGATATGTGACTTGGCTGAAAAGGCAACTGGATTAGCTGTTGAACAGA